CTCCTTTTTATTATTACTGGATAGCATTTCCCCCTTTTACATATGAGGCATGGTGGTGAAGATCCCTAATTAACAGTGGCACAAGCCAGCCCAGCCCCTGCTAATGATGCCTCCCTGGGGGGTAGAAGGTGGAATTAAATCAGAAAATCAAGCATAAACCCCAGAATCAAGGACCTGACAGGTCAATAGAGGCCATGACGCATGGTCAGGAGCATAAACTCTTAGACTGCTGGGCTTTGAGTCCCAGCTCTAGCTGCCTCAGTTTCTCCATCTAAGAGTACTAACCTCCTACAGTTCTGGGATTAAATGAATTAAATTTGTAGAGTGCTTAAAAGAGTGTGGTCCATTAGTTAATGTTCTATACATGTTTAAAATGTTAAATAGTTGGGGCTTGGGGTATAGCTTAGTGGAAGAGCACTTGCATAGCACGTGAAGCCCCTACTCCTCACTAAGCTTTGAGTGTTAATCCTCACATCTCATGGTGTGCTAGCAGGAGGGCCAGATTTCCAGCACCACTAAATAAATTCTTTGCCAGGTGTGGTGGTGCTCAGCCTGCAAAATTTAGGAGGATTCTGTCTCAAAATAAAAATTAAAAAATAATTAATTATGGAAATGTTCAGTGGTAGAGCACCCCAGGATTCAATCCCTAGTACTGCAATAAATAAATAAATATTAGCGAAATTGTTTTGTTTTGTTAGCAAAATTGTCAACAAAGGGTAGTCGAAACTATTAGTTGATCGAGGCTGTCGTTTTTGATGATGATGGTGGTGGAGGTGATGGTGGTGGTGATAATGATATTATGATGGAAAGATTTCCCCATTTAGAGATGGCCAATAGGGTCCTGGTTCTCGTTACTGGGATTTGGTCTCTAGATCCAAGTGAGTAAATAACAAGTTGAGGAAAGATGTTCATGCTGGATTAAAGAATTCCTTTTTTTTTTTTTTTTTTTTTTTTAGATTAAAGAATTCTGAATCACTTGGTGGCTTTCTATTAACTTCTTTTGATGGGTTTTGGGTGGTTTTTTTTGTTTTCTTTTGTTTTTTGGTACCAATGATCGAACTTGGGACCTTGCACTTGCAAGGCAGGAGGCAGAACCACTGAGCTAAATCCCCAGCCCTAACTTCTTATGATGAAAATGTTCGAATATACCCAACCCCCATGTGCTGCCACCTGGTTTCAGCACTAGCCTTCCCTTGCCTCCTGCTTGCCAGTGTTTTCCGTGACTGAGCCAGTGGCTGAGGCAGCCCAGCCCTGGCCAGGTTGGAAAAAGTTCCCTTCTCAGAACCTTCCTGGAGCTGGAGAGCCCCTCAGACTTTGCTGTAATTTGTGATTTATCAACCTAGCAGATCCAGTTTTATAGAAAGCTAATGAGTCTTCGTAAGCACCTGGAAATTCAAGTTAGAGCAGTCTGTCACACTTACCGTGTCGCTTCTCTCAGAGTGAGGCTTGGAGCATTAGGAGGAGATGCCTCACGCAGGGTAAGTGCCTTGCTTCAAGTTATTTGCAAAACCATTTTCATTTTTTCAGGCCGCCACCCTTGGCAAGTCTGATCATGCTTGTCTCAATTTTCACTGCCCAGATTTGGGCTGGCTGGGGAGAGGAATCCAGGGCAGCTCTTGTTCCCTTCTTACATGATAACTGTCCCGTCCTCGTCCCCCCCCCCCCCCCCGCCTGGAACACAGCCCAGACCCCTGCTACTTATGCTTGGGGATGGAGCAGGGATCTTTGGAAAGAATCTTGATTTTCTAGATTGGAAAAAAAAATGCTATTTTAGATTTGAAGGGTGGTATTAGCTCATCCTCTAAGGACTTGGGATTTCTTCTCTTGTTTCTGTTGTCACTATATGGCTCATCTGTTCACTTAGCAAATCCTTTCTTTCTGTCTTATCTACCAAAAAGCATGGAAATAACAATAATCTCCTGCACTTACATTGCTCTGAGCTTACAAGATGTAATCACTTTCGCCGTGTTTATCTTCACCAAACCCTGAAGAGACACAGGCTCACCAGTAATGGTTTCATTCATGTTACAGTAGAGCAAACTGGGGCCCATAGAGAAGTTAAGACATTTTCTTAAGGATACCCAGCAAAAAGATATCAGAATCTGGGTTTATAATCCAGTGGAAGACTCTGAGACTAGCTACCTCCCCTTTTTAAAATCTCTTTTCTTTCCATCATTTACTGTAGCTGCCCCCTGCTCACCCTATTCCCATCCCTTCAAGTTTAGGAAGGAGCTTCAGACCTAGCCCAAAAGGCTAGGATAGGGTGAGGACAGGAGGCTGGCCATTTGTTATAGGATGGATGGGGAGGGTCTGACTAGATTATGTGAAATACCTGTTTCCTCCCTGTGAATTAGCTCTTAGTGTGGTCACTCAGTTTATGTGGAGTGGCCTCAGAATTCTACCATCCTTGGGTTCCTGGCTCTGAGGTAGAATCCTTTAAAACTTGCTCAAGGTCACTGGGCACATGCCTATAATTCTAGCACTGGGGAAGCTGAAGCAGATTGATGAGGCAGGAGGATCATAGGAAGTTCAGTTCAGCCTGTAGTCCAGTTCAACCTGGATTACAAAGGGAGACCCTGTCTTAAAAAAAAAACACAAAAAAACCCCAAACTCAAGTAGCCTAGGGTTGGGGGTAGGGGTGTAGCTCAGTGATAATGTCCTTGCTGAGCACATAGGGTAGGCCCTGAGTTCCATCCCTAGAATGGGAATGGGAGAAGGAAAAAAAAAGCCCTCAGGATTTAATAAATAGGGTCTCTCCAGATATAGGTAGAACCAACAATGTGACTACACACTCATATTAAGGAAATCTATAGATCGATCACTTCTCCTCATCTTAGTTGGTTTGGGGGGTGGGGGGTTACTGGGGATCAAACTCCAGTCCTTGCACTTTCGAGGCAGGCAGTGGAACCACTGAGCTAAAATCCCAGCCCCTTCGTTCGTTCGTTCTTTCTTTTGGTATCGGGGATCGAACTCAGGACCTTGCACTTGCGAGGCAGGCAGCGGAACCACTGAGCTAAATCCCCAGCCTCCTTAGTTCTTTCTTTCTTTCTTTTTTTTGTTGGGGGAGTACTGGGTATCAAACTCGGGTCCTTGCGCTTGTTGCGCAGCAGGTGGCGAAACCACTGAGCTAAATTCCCGACCCTTTAGTTCTTTCTTTCTTTTATTTATTTTTTGTTGTTGTTGTTGTTGTTGTTTTTGGTACTGGGGATCGAAATTGGGTCCTTGAGCTTGCAAGGCAGGCGGCAGAACCACTGAACTAAATCCCTGGCCCTAGTTCTTTCTTTATAAGAAAGAATTTCACTATGTAGCTCAGGCTGGCCTGAAAATCACAATCCTCTTTCCTCGGCCTCTGAAGTGCTGCTATGCCCTGCTAACTTTTGTTTTTGTCCGTGTGGTGCTGGAGATGGAACCTAGGGCCTTATGCATGTTAGACAAGCACTCTACCACTGTGCCACATCCCTAGTCCAAATCTTGGTTCTTAATTGGGATCTTAACACAAGACAGCTTAACAGGAGAAAACATGAATTTTTTGCATGCAAGTGGGTACCCTCACGAGAGTGAAGGAAGACCTGAAGAAATGTCCAGAGCAGAAAGCTTCTATACTTCTAAACAGCAGTAAGTTTTGTGGAGAAACAAGACAGAGGGCCCTGGGCTAGAGGCAGTAATTCCAGGGGACTAGGAGATAATGGAGGGGTGTGAAGCTGGTGGAGGATGAGGGTTATTTTAACAAGTTTATACAGATTGTCAACTCCCACTTACCTGTAACAATGGCTGTCTTTTTGTACTTGTACAAGGCTGTCAGCTTTCTCCCAGGCAAGTTTATGGCTGGCAATAGGTAAGAAAGCACAGTTGAGATAGACCTTTCTGCAATTGCTGGTTTTCAAGCACCTTTGGCTCACAAATATTTAATCAAAGAGGCATATTTTGGAGTGATATACCAGTTTCCATCAAGGGCCAGTCACAGATCTGCTGTTTATTAGTTATGGGATGGCAGGTAAATTTCTTAACCTTTCTGATCCTCAGTTGCATTTTCAAGATGTGAGTGATCATGGTTCTCACCCAAGGTCTTTTTCTCTAAGCCAAGTAACTACCGTGCAGGTCTTTTGGTTTCAGATATGTTTGTAAGAGTGGCCCCTGGCGGAAGAAATGAAAACTGCAGCCCGGGAGCTAATCGCTTAGGGGCTTTCTGGCAGAAATCTGATCCTCCTAGCACAGAGGTGTCTAGCCTTGTAAAATAAGGGTAACAGCAGGATTTTTTTTTTTTTTTTTTTTTTTTAACCAGGGATTGACTCTGGTCCTTGCGCTTGGGAGGTAGGCGATGGAACCACTGAGCTAAATCCCCGGATCCAGCAGGAATTTTTATAAAATAACACTTCGACCTTGGCTGAGGATTTAGCTCAGTGGCACTATACCTGCCTGGCAAGTGCAAGGTCCTGAGTTCAATTCCTGGTACCAAAAACACTTTGAGGCAATAGAAATCCTATTGGATGGATGAGTGGCAATTATTTTAAAGGAAGGAAAATATGCTAACTTCTGAGTTTACCTAGAATGAACTATCTTGTCAACTGTTCTCTCTACTGGGATGGCACTTTGTTATATTTTTGTCTTTTTTATTGATCGATTGATTAAGAAATCGCACCATAGGGTAGACTTAGGTACCTGTATCCTGTCTCAGTTATTTCATATTCTGTTTTTCATACTGGTAAGACCTCTCTGAAGCAGAGGTCCCTTTTTTGTTGTTTTTCTTAAAAAATTTACTTTCTAAACATCATTTTCACTGAACAACTACATGAGAAAAAAGATCACAATAATTGTGAAGAATGTCAATAATATTGATTCTAGGGATAGCTTTGTTCTGTCACCAAATTATGGTTTGTTTTGCTTGTGCCTGTTTTGCATGAGTTGGGCTTCTGTGGGTGAATTAAGTTTGCTTTTTGGAGAAGAATGCTCTTGTCTTGAATCTGCTCCATTTCCTAATCACTGTGCTTTCTGCCCTGCAGTGAGTTTTGAAGGATGCACGGGTCGACCAAGAACAGCCTACTTTTCTACCGACTCCCGATTCAAAGTAGGTACAGATGGTGTAGTCAGAGTCAAATGGCCTCTTCTGTTTCATAAACCAGAGATCAGTTTTTCTGTCCACGCCTTGGAATTCACCTTCAGAAAGTTTTCCACCAAAGTTACGCTGAAGGCAGAGGGACCCCATCCTCAGCACCACAACCACCATCAGCGCCGGGACAATCACCACCACCAGGACCCTGACCAGGTATGTCACGGTGTTTCTTAGATGTTCACCATTGTTTCAGGCTGTAGCTAACCCAGGTTGCTCTGCCATGGCTCCATTGGCATTTTGGGATGGACGGTTTTATGTGGAGGCTGCGCCGTGCACTATTTATAGGCAATTAAGCAGCGTCCCTGGCCTTAATTCAGTAGACACCAGGAACAACTCTAGCAGAGGTGACAACCAGAAACACTTCCAGATACTGACAATGCTGCCTGGGCAAGTTGCAAAATCATCCCTAGTAGGAGACCGTTGGTCTAATGGAACTATTTCTTATTTCTTGTTGGGTTTTGGGGTGGTTGTTGAGCATAGAGAGTGGGTAGTATAACGCAGTGGGAAAATGCATGGATGCTGTCTGGGATTGAATCGGCCTCCCTTTGGCCACGTGAGTAACCCTGGAGGAGTGATTTCATTTGTCTAGGCTTGAATTTCCTTTTCTGTAAAATGGAGATAATAGCAAGAACTGAATAAATTAATGCATGTGAAGTCCTAAGAATATGCTAAGTATATATACTTGGTATCCTAAGCAGACCAGTTCCAGAACACTCCTTCACCTTTTGTAGATACCAAAATCTGTGCCAGGGAAAGTGGCTCATGTCTATAATCCCAACACTTTGGAAGACTGAGGCAGGAGGATCGCCTCAAGTTCAAGGCCAGCCTGGACTACACAGTGAATTCAAGGACACCCTGAACTACATAGTAAGACACTTGTCTTTAAAAAAAAGAAAGAAAAGAAAAGAACCCAAAATCTGGATGCTTACATCCCTTATATAAAATGACATAGGATTTGCATATAGCCTACACATATCTTCCTGTGTTCTTACATCATTTCTAGAAGGATGAGAACATAGCTCAGTGGTAGGGCATTTGCCTAGCACTGCTGAGGCCCCGTATTCCATCCACTAAATTACTTAAAATGCCTAATACAAGGTAAATGCTATGTGAATCATGATGATACTATATTGTTGAGGAAATAAAGACAAAGTCTGTACATGTTCAGTACCACTATGGTTTAGTTCTAGAAGTTTCCCTCATATTCAAATGTGCTCAAAGATGTGGCTTTTGGAAGGTGATTAGATCGGGAAGCACTATACTCATCAATGGGTTTGTCTGCCAATAAGTGCAGTAAGGGCCGGGGATTTAGCTCAGTGGTGCTGCCTCCTGCCTCACAAGCACAAGGTCCTGAGTTCGATCCTCAGTACCAAAAAATAAAAACAAACCAATAAGTTCAGTAGCTGAGTGTGCTACTGGGGGTTGCGGGCTAGAGGCAGGTCACTGGGTGCACAACCTGGGAGGGTATATTTCCTTCCTTGGCTCCTCCCTTCTCTCTCTGCTCCTGGCCACCATGACATAAGCAGCTTTCCTCTGCTGTACCCCTCTGCCATCCCATTTCTGCCTTGGAGCCAGCCTACCATGGACTGTAACTGAGCTAAAATAAGTCGCTCTTACTTTGTGGGTCTCAAGTATTTTGTCCCAGTGACAAGGAAAGTGATTAAGACAAGTATGGACGTAATTTTTTAAAAACACTTTAACTCCATGATTGGTTGAATCCACGAATGTGAAACCTGCAGTTGTGGTGGGCCAAATGTAATCAGTGCTCTTTAGTTGTTAGCTGTTCTTAATCCTTTCTCTCCTGGAGGCAGAAGGAATGAGTTGTGCATTTTCTTATTGTTTTGTTCTTTGTGGGTCTTGGCAAAGAGGAGGATGAATGGGTGACACAACCTTTCTCCATTGTGTTCAAAGTGCCTGGCCATTAGGTCTGGAACCTGCCAGGAGCCCAGTAGATATTGAACCGACAGATACATGAATTGACCATGAATGGAAGGATGTATTTCTGCCTAGATTCTTGGCAAGAATATTTCTGGAGGTTGTTACCAAAAGCCAAATGCCTTTGCAAGTTTCCACACTGGGCCCACAGTACTCTCTATCAAAATGTCTCAGGGCAGCAGGTGGGGTGGGGTATGCTGCGGTGGTGGGTATTTCTAGTTGTACTCTTCCTTCTTGGAAGTACACAGGAAGTATAGATTGTGTCCTAAATGCCAAAGCCTCTAGGTAGGCTCCTGCTTTTCTCCCTCAGGAGTTTTGAGGTTCTTGGAACTTAATATTCTTTCTGATACATCTGAATTTCTTCCTGGTGATCAGAAGATCAGAAAACATGACTAACTCAGGGGAACTATATTAGTATGACCCTCTGCCTGGCATCTCCAATTGGCCTGTCATTCATGTGAGCTCAGCACAGTGAGTTCTGCTAAGCAGCTGCCTGTTGAAATCTCTTCTGACCAAGAGACAGTTTTGAACTTGATTCTTCTCTAGCTTTGCCTCCCCTCTTCTGCCGACTTAGCCTCTGCTTTCATGTCTGCTGTATCAGGATTTGATTCAAGTGTATATTATATAAAACCCCAAATTACAGTGGCTTATGCAAAATATTCTCTTTTAAGTTAAGGAAGTCCAAAGGTGAGTTGTGTCCCACATAGATACTCTATAGCATTAGTGGCAAACCTACGGTATGTGTGTGTTGGCATGCAACCCAAGTTACCCCAGCAGCTGAGCATTGGGTAACAGTGCACATAGGGGTCATGCTCATGCTCAGAAAGGAGCGGTGGTGCCAGGCGATGATGTCACAAGCCTCTTGGGCATTTGGTCTCTAAAAGGTTTGTCATCAGTGCTCTGCAGCCATCAAGAGCCCAGGTTTCCTTTCTCTCCCCCCCCCCCCGGGTGCCCAGGGACTGAACTCAGGACCTTGCACTTATGAGGCAGGCACAGTGCCACTGAGCTACATCCCTGGCCCCCACGTTTCTTTACTCCTCTGTTATCCTCAGCCTGTGGCTTTCACCCTCATAGTGACCTTATGATCTAAGATAGCTGCAAGAGCTCCAGTCATCCCTTTATTCTACATGGTAAGAAATGGAAAGAGAAGAAGCATAGAAATGTATTGTTTAGTTATCTGCCTGCCTTTTAAGAAACTTTTGTGGAGTTTTTTTGTTGTTGTTGTTTTTGGTACCTGGGATCAAACTCAGGACTTGCCCTTGTGAGGCAGGCACGGTGCCACTGAATAAATCCCCAGCCCTTTTTTGGAATTCTTAAGGGACACTTCCACTTTTATCGTAATAGTCAGAACTTAGCCTCCTGGCCACACCTAACTATTAAGTGTAGCTTCTTACAAAAATGTAGTCTTTTTTTTTTTTTTTTTGGTACTGGGGATCAAACTCGGGTCCTCGCGCTTGCACAGCAGGCACCGGAACCACTGGGCTAAATCCCCGGCCCTAAAAAAAAATTTTTAAAGGAAGAATAGGTATTCGGTGGTAGGTGGCAAACTGCCAAAGATGAATTGGAGGTTCACTTTGGTTTGTCTCTAGTTCAAAGGATACTGGGTATCAAACCCCAAGGCCTTGTGCATGCAAGTGCTCTCCCTGTGATCCATACCTTAACCCCTCATACTTCACTTTTAATTTGTATTAGAACAGATGTAACTGTCTACTTTCACTTTGCTTGAGAAGATGTTTTGTTTCGTTTTTGAAACAAGGTCTTACTTCATATCCCAGGCTGGCAATCATCCTCCCTCACCCTCCCAAGTCCTGGGATTACATGTGTGTGCCACCATGTGCAGCCTTGAGTGGCCTTTTGCAGTCTGGTGTCCTATTTTTCTGAGGGATAAATTCCATATTAATTAGATTTAGGCATGATTCTCTTTAAATTTTACACATGAAAATGTTAATATTACGTTAACAATGCTCATCTTTATTATCATTCCCTGAAAATATTCTGCAGCCCTGAGGTCAGCAAGGCCTGACCTTTTGTCTTCTCTTTCAATATGGCAAGTGGATTTGTATTCATTCATCAAGGCCTCTTTGTTCACCATGGCTCTACTTTACATGCAATACCAGTAACTCATTTAATCCTTAAGAATCCTTATGACTTAGGAACTAATAGCATCACCCTCATTTTATTTATTTATTTATTTATTTAGGCCCCAGGGATCAAACTTGGGACTTTGTGCTTGCTAGGGAGGCAGCAACACCATTGAGCTAAATCCCTGGCCAAGAATAAGTATTGTTATGTGGTATGAGGGAGATGGAAATTTTTTGTAGAAATTTTACAGTATTACCACTAATCACTCTAAAACACTTAAGTAATTTGAAAGATATTTTCCTTCCATCTTCAATGCTTTTATTTCCCTGAGTATAAGGTTATCTTTATGCTAAATCTTCTCGATACAAAGGGTGTTTTTGATTCTGACCCTAGGTAGGGAAATTTCTGTTAGAACAAACAGGAGCCTTTTAGATATGGCATAATGAGATGAAGAGATTTATATTGATCACAAAGTATTCCTAGTAGCAATTCCTAAAACTTAACTTGTTTTGGCCTATAACTAACTCCCTTTTAGGGAGCTATATTCATAGGAAAAATATAAAGGAAAAGAAATTGAAAACATCTCAGGATGTAGTTATTGAATAATCTCTAATATTAAAACAACAGAGTATAATGTTGCTATAAAAGTGATATATATATTACATGTGCTTGAAATAACTTGTAAATCACAATACAAAACCCATACACCTACAATGGTGTATGCATGATTGCCTTTTCTGGACACTAAGAAGGATTAAAAGAGAACACATTCTTTATTTTGTAGCCGTTTTAGTCAGCTTTCTGTCATTGCAGCAGAATACCAGAGGCAATTAACTTTTTTTTTTTTTTTTTTTGGTACCAGGGATCAAATTTAGGACCTTGTGCTTGCTAGGCAGGCGGTAGCACCACTGAGCTAAATCCCTGGAGCTAACTTTTTTGTTGAGACAGGGTCTTGCTATGTAGTTCAGGTTGCCTTGAACTCACTAGCCCAGGCTTGCCTGGAACTCAATCCTCCTCCCTCGGCCTCCTGTGTGCTGGGACTACAGGCGTATGACACCACGCCCAACCTGAGAAGCAATTAATTTATAAAGAGAAAAGTTTTATTTTGGCTCATGGTTTTGGATGTTTTAGTCCAAGATCGGGTGGCCCTATTAATTTGGTCCTCTAGTGAGGGTACCACATTATGGCAGGAACACGTAGCAGAACAAACTGCGTAACTCATGATCCAAGAAGTGAAAAGAAACAAAGGTCCTACAGCACACTTTGAGGGCACACCCCTGAGGATCTGAAGACCTCTCAGTAAGCCCCATCCCCTAAGGCAGTAAGGGTGAACCTTTTAGAAATCAAGTGTCCAAACTGCAACCCAAGACCCACTTATTTATCACAAAGTTCCAACATTGCAGTTAAACCTGAATGCTTGGCTGCTGGGGCAATGCTGGGACAACTTGGCTCATGTGCCAACGGAGAGGGCTCTGCATCCCCACTGTGCCACACATGCCATAGGTTAGCCACCACTACCATAAAGGTTCCAGCACTTCCCAATAGTGCTTCCCTGGGCGACATTCAACTTCCTAACTGTAGTACTGGCAAAGAGGTTTGTTGATTTTTGTCTTGGCTGTTCATTTTGGAGGGTATAAATAATTTGTCATTGAGAAAACAGGTCATGAGTTAAAACCATAACTGCCCTTGGAAGGTTTGAGATGCTGGTCACGTAAGTTGGACTATTAGACCTGTAATATCTTGAGTTTCCTCATTTGTTCCTCATCTTCTTTCTTTTCAGGACATTTCCCCAGGATCCCAGATAGAAGTGATCAAATTTCCCAACTTCCACCATGGTCTCAGAAGGCAGAAGAGAGACTGGGTTATCCCTCCCATCAGCTGCTCAGAAAATGAAAAAGGCCCATTTCCTAAAAGGCTGGTTCAGGTACAGAAAGAAGTTCTGTGTTTCTCTGGGAGGAATTTGGCGGAGAAGCAACAAGGAGTAGAAAGGAAAATGATACAATGTCAGGATCTTGCCAATTCTGTTTCTTTCTGTTTTTTCTCTTCAGATCAAATCCAACAGGGACAAAGAAACTAAGGTTTTCTACAGCATCACTGGCCAAGGAGCTGATACACCCCCTGTTGGTGTGTTTATTATTGAAAGAGAAACAGGATGGCTGATGGTGACAGAGCCTCTGGATAGAGAAAAAATTGCCAACTACACTGTAAGTATCTTAGAAGCTTGTTGACTATGGTGGAACATCTGTCCAAAATTTTTTTGGCTAACCCATTGGATTCCCAGAACAGATGTCGTGGGCATGTGAGGGGCTTAACCTGACATCTTTTGACCTGTTGATAAGGTGAAATGACAGGAGAACCTGGGAAAATGTGGCACTAATTTTTTCCTTATTAGGAAAAAAAGTGGAGAAAGTCTTCATGCATTACACATAAGTCTGTTCTGGGGACTGGAAGTTCTTTAACTGAAGCAAGAGGATAGCTTTGATACTGGGGAACCAGAACCATTACTGGGACTTGGTAACAAACAACTCAAGCTTAGGGAAGAGGGAGGTAACACATGGGTGCCAGATATAGGAAAATCTGGAGAAAGCTCTTGACTGGAGTGGCCAGGTCAAACTTTAGCTTGATTTAAATAAGAATATTTTAAAAAATGAAATAAAAATGGGCCGGGCATTTAGCTCAGTGGTTCCGCTGCCTGCCTCGCAAGCACAAGGTCCCAAGTTCAATCCCCGCTACCCACCCCCCCAATAAATAAATAAATAAATAAGAATATTTTAGCTGGGTGTGGTGGCACATACCAGTAATTCCAGCCCTGGGGAGGCTGAGGCAGGAGGATTGCTGCGAGTTCAAGGCCAGCTTGGGCTACATAGTGAGTTCAAGGCCAGCCTGGACTACATAGTGAGGTCAAGAACACCCTGAATGACAAAGGAGACCCTTCCTCGAAAAAAAAAGTGTATATTTTAGGCCTCTATCTTTGTCTGTAGTCATGATCCCCCAGTCTTCTGTGTGGGAAATGGGATGTCTGACCTGGTGGGTGTGTCTTCTAGGCCATGGGTCTTAACTCATCATAGTCTTATTGAAGCCACAGCACTGAAGTCTCACAGTAGGAAGAAGTGGAGGTCAGATGGCCCACTCTGCTCTGGCTGGACCCCCCTCTCACACCTCTTCTTCCTCGTCCGGGGTCCATGTAACCTTCACTTCATTCTTGTAGCTCTTTTCTCATGCTGTGTCATCGAATGGGAATGCAGTTGAGGATCCCATGGAGATTGTTATCACAGTGACAGATCAGAATGACAACAGGCCTCAGTTCATCAAAGAGGTCTTTGAGGGATCTGTCATGGAAGGTGCTCTTCCAGGTATGTCTGGTCACAAGGGACTGATGCCTAGAAAGACACTTGGACTCTTTGGGCCTACAGAGTGTTTGGGCTGGAATCTGGAGGTCAGGTCACTGATGTTGGGCCTTCGTGTGGATACAACTTCTTTGGAAGCTACTGTGTGTGTCTGTGTGTCTATAGATTATAGTTGGGTCCCACTGTGCGCAGCGCCTAGTTATTAGATTTTTGAATACTGGTCTTTTGTCAGTCATTTGCTATAATAAGTGTTTTCTTCTCCCTTGAAGGCAATATTTTGTTTGTTTCCAGTACGGGGGATGGAACTCAGGACCTTGCATTTGTGAGGCAGGCAAGGCACCACTGAGCTAAATCCCTCTCCCAGGCAATGTTTCTAATGACTATTCTTTTTAGTGAAGCTATAGCTAAGAAGTCAGTTGTGGAGAATTCTGAATTTTTTCCTATTTTACACTATTCAACTCAGTGTAAGAGACATGGCAAAATGTTTTAGTTAAATTTATTCACAACATTCCTCTTCACCTCCAACCCCCACCTAAAATGTGTGTTGAAAACATTGAGTTCTCTAAACACAGTTTATAGTACAATTTAGCTTTTTTCCTCCCCTGCCAATTTGGTGAGAATTCTAGAAAATGGAGAATATGTGACAAAGATCTCCAGGGCCCCTCCTTTATCACTCAGGGCAGGCTGGGGCTGAGCAGTATTGAACAGTTCTCAAAGTGTAACTGTTTAAACTTCCTGTTCTCTGATGCTTCTAGGAACCTCTGTGATGCAGGTCTCAGCCACTGACGCAGATGATCCTAACACCTACAACGCTGAGATCGCTTATGCCATCCTCAGCCAAGAGCCTACATTGCCTCACAGCCAAATGTTTACCATCAATCGGATCACAGGGGTCATCAGCGTGGTCACCACCGGGCTGGACAGAGAGGTCAGAGCAGGGGTCAGAAGGATCCAGTGGGAACAGAAGGCAAATGCTTTTTGGTGAAGTTCCATGGACAGTGTAAAACTCTACTAAGACCCCAGTGGTCAGTTAGTGTGGTGGTCTGAGCTTTGCGTCCAAACACCTGCCCAAAGATTCTCTGCCTAGATGAAAATAGGCTGGCATTAAACAGATGGTTAAATATTCTGGTTCTACATATGCAAGAGGCTGGGCTGGGCCTGAGGTAGCTATGTGCTGGTCCTGACTCAAGTGTGTTTGATCTGTCTGCAGAGTTATCCCACATATACCCTGGAGGTTCAGGCTGCTGACCTTCAAGGTGAAGGTTTAAGCACAACAGCAAAAGCCGTGATCACGGTGACTGACGTCAACGATAATCCTCCCATCTTCAACCCAACCACGGTAATTCTGCAGTCCCTCAGAAGGTTTCCAAAGAAGAATCCTTTGTTGTTCATAAGCCAAGTTTTACAACTGCTCATGACTGAACTCTGAAAGCTCATCCTCAGACTAGCTAACTAGTGAATGTCAAGGTCAGGCAAAGATGGGAGAGGGGAAGCTGAAATGTATTCTCAGCAACGTGTGGCCTTGAATAAAGAAGCAGCTCAAAGCACAGGAAGAACTGAAAAACAGCCACTTAACTAAGTGTAGTGAACAAAACAAGGCAAGTCCTGAAGGACCTTCTAGGCTAGGGTAAGAATTAAGAATTTGTTCTAAGCACAAATGGACACCGTTGAAGGGCTTTAAGCAGAAGGTTATAATGGCCAGATTTATTTTTATGAAGATTATTAATAGAGAAGAGATGAAGGCTGGAAGCAAATGATGATTAAACCTTAGTGCTTTGCACTTGACCAAGAACCACAGTCAGAAATTGGGCCACATGTGCTGAGCAGCTGGGATAGTCATGGCCTTGGAAAGCTGCTTCAGTTACTTTACTTGTGGAGGAGGATGCTCATAAGTACTAGGTGCCCCACTGACAGGAAATAAGGCCCTGCTCCTAGAGTGGGACTTCCTCCAAGACTCATGCCCATCTCCTGAGCTTCCCTGTCACATCTCTTTCAGACCTGGGCTCAGACTGGATTCATTTAGCCCCCAAAATCTGCCTCTGCGCTTGGTGTCAGGGTATATCCTCAGTGACATGTCTTCTCCTTTGCTCTGCAGTATGAGGGTCAGGTTCCTGAGAATGAGCCCGAAGCCGTCATCACTACGCTCACGGTGACTGATGATGATGCCCCCAATACCCCAGCATGGCAGGCCGTGTACAGCATACTAAATGATCCTGACAAGCAATTTACTGTCACCACAGACCCAATAACGAACAACGGCATTTTGAAAACAACTAAGGTTTGTTTGTACCTGGCAAGATGCAGAACATGACACCCCAGCAGCTACCCACTCCTGTCCCAGGCTGCTTCTCAGAAGCAGATTAATACTGGTGGGGTACAGAAGGGGCAGCTTTCCCAGACTGTGGGGGACTCACCGCATGGGGTTTGCAGTGACTTTTCTAAAACTGAACAAGAAGAATCATGTGTTTTAATAGGCTCTTAGGAACATTTTGCCTTCCCATTTTGCTAATGAGAGGAAACATGGTTTGCTGGGCTTGGCTATTTTGCTGGACTTTTTTTTTTGGTACCGGAGATCGAACTCGGGTCCTTGTGCTTGCAAGGCAGGTGGCAGAACCACTGAACTAAATCCCCGGCCCTGCTGGACTATTTTAGAAGTGGTACAAGTATAACTTTTTTGAAAAATGTCCTACAAACTTGAAAACTAAGATGTTGAGTGAGTCACTGAAGTTAGTCTGAGTTAATGGGTGGCTAGCATGGCTCCAGAGTTTTGACTTCCTCTTCAGCAAGTGAACAGACATATTTGAGGACCACTGGTATGTTAACAACCAAAACCAATAGTTAAGGATTTAATTTTTTTTTTTTTTTTGTACTGGGGATCGAACTCAGGACCCTGTGCTTGTTTGCAAGGCAGGTGTAGTGCCACTGAGCTAAATCCATGGCCCAACGATTTAAATTTTTTAAAATTAATATGAAAGGTTTCTTGTTTTTATTTTATTATTATTTTTGGTATGGTGCTGGCCGTCAAACTTAGCACTCTCCCCATGTTAGGCAAATGCTCTACCATTAAGCTGCACCCCCAGCCCCTTGTATTGTACTTTATTTTTTAACATTATTTTTTCTGCTCTCTAGGGCTTGGATTTTGAGGCCAAGCAGCAGTACATTCTACATGTGACAGCAACAAATGTGATCCCCTTTGAAGTGATTCTTCAGACTTCCACAGCCACTGTCACTGTCGATGTGCTGGACATCAATGAAGCCCCCATCTTTGTGCCCGCCGAAAAAAGAGTGGAAGTACCAGAAGACTTTGGGGTGGGCTTGGAAATCACTTCCTACACTGCTCGGGAGCCGGACACATTTATGCAACAGAAGATTACGTAAGTGTCAAGGTTCCTTGACTGACTTGCAGCAACTGGTTATTATGTATTTATAATCTATCTATTTTCACAGTCATGTGTCAGTGACAAGGATACATTCTGAGAAATGTGTCCTTGGCCAATTTTATCATCATGAGAACATCATAGGGTTTATAATGTAAGCTAAGATGGCTACACCACCACTGGGCAGCATAATTTTATGAAGCTACTGTCTGGATTACCCTTTGTTGATCAGAATGTTGTTATAAAGCCGATGACTACATTTAGTTGATGGCATTACACTATCATTGGGTTCTGCCAGTGCTGCGTCCCTTCTTCCCTCTCCCTCTCCCCCTAGCTGCCTCCTCCCCCTCTCCTCCCTCCTTAATATTTTATCTATATCCCCCACATCTTTTCCTTTCCTTCCATTGTTGACCATTCCAGGTTTAATGTAATTTCTCTCTGAATTCTTTTTTTTTTTTTTTTTTTTGGTATTGGGGATCAAACTTGGGTCCTTGTGCTTGTGAGGCAGGCAGCAGAACCATCTCCGGCCCTCTCTCTGAGTTCTTGCAATGTAGTTGGGATATGATTTGGGGGTTTGTTGTTTGAGATGGGGGCTCATTTTGTTGTCCTGTGTTCTTATGATCCTCCTGCCTTTCAGTCCCCTTAGTAGCTGAGACTATAGGTATGCCCCACTATGGCCGGCGGATACAGGAATGTATTTTTTTTTTTTTGGTATCGGGGATCAAACTCAGGACCTTATGCTTACCAGGCAGGCAGCAGCACCACTAAGTTAAGTCCCTGGCCCGGGAATGTATTTTAATTTACATAAGTGTTGTTCTTTTTAGACTTGAAGCCACCTCTATACTGTTCGTTTCTAGCCAAAATGTTGAAAAAACACCAACCAACTACAACATTTTGCTTTGAAATACTCTAAATTTGGACAGGTAGTCAATATACTGCTCCTGATCTGGGGAATACTTCTAGGTGGTCCAAAATGTAAGGTCTGGTAAAAAAAAATTTTTTCCTCTCTCTGGTAAAATGTATTTGTAATAAAAGTTTGAAAGCATGGTGAAAAGCCAAAGACAATAATATAGAATGTTGTTTAGTGATGAAACCTTGGATTGCATGATGTCCAGGCTAGGTTGATAATTTAGCTTGCAGTAATGAAGTGGGTAGGTTAAAGCTTCTCTTCAGGCAAGTTCAAGGACCAGGCCTTAATGTAGAGACCCTCATCTCTGGAGCAAAGACCTCTGTATGCAATTCATTGCTTTGCACTTCTAAGGAAGTGAGAAGCACTTTCCTCCTTGAATTTCTTAGTGTCTCTTTCTGAGCCTTCCCACAACCCTGATAGATAAATGGGCAGTATGTTTCTAATTTTCATGCCTTCATTTCCTCTGATTAACTGGTTCTAGTATTTCTTCTTTTCTTTTCTTTTTTTTTCTTTTCTTTTCTTTCCTTCCTTCCTTCCTTCTTTCCTTCTTTCCTTCTTTCTTTCCTTCTTTCTTTCTTTCTTTTTGGTACCAGAGATCGAACTCGGGACCTTGCACTTGGAGGCAGGTGGTGGAACCACTGAGCTAAATCCCCAGCCCTGTTCTACTATTTCTGAAAAGATGTGGCTTAACAGGATTCTCTGCCATTTCAAATAAAGCTTTTTTTGCTGTTAAGTCCAGAAGCCTTACATTCCCTGCCTTTTACCATTAAATACCAGTAGTGCAACCCATCTCCACATCAGGGAGTCACCCTAAACCTCCAGATGTTAATGGCCAGAAGTGGGGCTAGTGTCACCTTTGAGAACTACTGTACTGTAGTCTAGAGAATCCTGCTTTTTAAAAGAAGGATTGCTGGGTGTGGCAATTACTATTACTATTAACTACTACATATAGTAATGGTAAGCATTGCTTTGGGGAAAAATTACTGATAGATGCCAAATTCATTAGGTGAAGTTAGGCATTGTGGTGCACACTTATAATCCCAGCACTCAGGAGGCAGAGGCAGGAGGATCTACAATGAGTTTGAAGGCACCCTGGGCTACATAGCAAGACCCTGCGTAGGAAGGAAGGAAAGGAAGGAGGGAAGGAAAAGGAAAGTTAGTGGGTGAACATGATACTCTCACATTATCTCCTGCCAGATTATAGATTAATTACAAAGGGGAAAAGATGCCTTTACTGTGGTAGTCTTTTCTTATTCCAGTGGTGAAAGTTAACATTACCATAAAAAGAACAGACCTGATATCATGTGCCTCCTAATATAATATACCAAGGAGGACGCCCCACCCCATCCCCAAAAGGATAACCTGGATCGGATTGTGAGGGAACAATCAGAACCCCAGTTGAGGGCCGTTCTATAAAACAACTGGCTTGCACATTCCCAAAATGTTGGAGTCAAGAAAGAAAAGAAAAGGGCCGGGGATTTAGCTCAGTGGTTCAGGCGCCTGCCTCACAAGCACAAGGTCCTGAGTTCGATCCCCAGTACCAAAAAAAGAAAGAAAAGAAAGGCCAAGGAAATGGTTCCAGCCAAATCAATGGAAACTATAGACATGCCAACCAAATGTCAACCATGATCCATTAGATTATTGGAGATCAATCTGAATACTGTGCCATTCTCTTCAAAGAGAGAACTTTGAATTACCTCTATGTATGTGTGTTAACATACAGGTTGAGAAAGTAAATGTGGGAAAATACTAACAATTGGTAATCAATGGGGATGTAGCTCAGTGGTTAGAATACCTGCTGGACATGCACAAAGGTTCAATCCATAGCACCCAAAAAAACAAAAAATGGTAAATCTAGGTGAAGAAGGGTACATGTACGTATGGTTATCATACTATTCTAGAAACTTTTATATAGGGTTGATAAACTTCAGATTAACATTAGGCCAAGCATGGCGGCACCTGCCTATAATACTAGCACTCAGGAGGCTGAGGTAGGAGGATCTTGAGTTAAAGGCCAACCTGGACTACATAATGAGACCTTGTCTCAACAAAATAAAAAAATTTTAAAAATTAAAACACTAAGTGTAGGTGTGGTGGTGCATGGCTATAATCCCAGCTACTCTGGAGACTGAGGCAGAGTAGGTTTGAGGCTGCCTGGCCAACATGGCAAACCCTGTCTCAAAATAAAAATTGACAAAAGGACTGTAGCTCAGTGGTATAGCACTTGCCCCGCATGTGTGAGGCACCCTGGGTTCAATCTCTAATACCCTAATAACCAACCAACCAAAAAAACCCCCCAAAAAACAAAAAAACCCCAAACAAACAAAAACATAGGAAGTAACTATATAAAGTTACCATATATAAAGTCAGCCTTCTTTAGCTCAACGCTGCTTGCTGTTCCCATCCTAAGCCAGAGCTTGTGCCTTTTCAGGTATCGGATTTGGAGGGACACTGCCAACTGGTTGGAGATTAATCCGGAGACTGGTGCCATTTCTACTCGGGCTGAGCTGGACAGAGAGGCCTTTGAGCATGTGAAGAACAGCACGTACACAGCTCTCATCATCGCCACCGACAATGGTAGGGACACCTGTGTGGCCTGGGCTGCTCAGCCTCCTGCCCAGCTTGACTCCTTTGCCCCTGCTCTACTGGAGGCCTGAGTTCAGTCTTTTGGTTTGTTTAGTGCTTAAACAGAGGCATTCTCAGTGTCCAAAATCCCAGTGCCCAGAATAATTTGGGGCAAGCGGAAGTTCCTTTTCACTTGTCATTCTCTGTACCTGAGCCCCGCTCTTTCCCCACAGGAGCCCGGGTTTGTATCCCAGGTCCATATCTTCATATCTGTGTGACCTTGGGCTTGCTACTTGATTTGTATGTCCATCAAGTCCTTTATCTGATAAAATGATAATGCGGGGGGGGGGATTTAGCTCAGTGGTTCCACTGCCTGCCTCACAATCGCGAGGTCCCGAGTTCGATCCCTGGTACCAAAAAAAAAAGATAATGCAAACTGTATTAAATGAGTTAATTTATACAAATGTACCTAGAATGGTATCTGCCATGTGCAATATAGGGCTGTCCTTTTCATCATCATGAAGCCTGAATCCTTCCAGACTTTCTGTATATTTAAATACATTTAGATAGCTATAGAAATATGCTCATCAACAGATGAAAGGAAAAAGAAAATGTGCTATTTATACACAGTGGAGTACTAATCAGCTATAAACTCCAGTCATTTGTAGGAAAATGGATGCACCTTGAGATCATAATATTAAGAAAAATCAGGCATACAGCTTAAATATTGCATGGCTTCCATTATATGAGAAACCCAAAGTATAAATAGAGAGCAAAAGATAGGGCCACGGATTTAGCTCAGTGGTGCCACCACCTGCCTCACGAGTGCAAGGTCCTGAGTTCGAGTTCTGGCACCAAAAAAAAGAAAAGATAGATAATAGAAAACAGGAAGATCTTTTGCAAGTGGGAAGAGGACCACGAGATGATGGAGGGGAAGGGGAAGTTAAAAATAAGATGTGTTGTGTACATGTACCAAGTCCCCAAGATGAATATGATTATTGCATACTGCAAACATGTACCAAAAAAGATAAAAATTTTAAAAATATATAGTTCTATTAGTTTGTAGAATTTTCATTTGATTTTATTATCAACATTATATGTAATGTATAATTTTAAACTTAAAGTTTTGGGGCTGGGGATATCACTTAGAAATAGTGTTTGCCTAGCATGTACAATATCCTGGGTTTGATTCCTAACACTGTAAAATTAAAATACAATTTAAAAATTTTTAAAGATTCCCCCAGTACTATGGATCAAACCTATGGGCTCTACCCCTGAGCCACATACCCAGCTCTTTTTATTTTATAGTTTGAAACGCAGCCTTCTAAATTGCCCTGGCAGGACTTGAACTTGTGATCCTCTTGCCTTGTCTTCCCTCTGTACTAGAATTATAGGTGTGTACCACCAAGCCTAGCAAAAAAAGTATTTTATTTGACAGTATGTCTTTAAGTCAGAGACGGGGGCTGGGGATATAGCTCAGTGGTTCAATGGTAGAGCACTTGCCTGAGCATGCATGAGACCCTGGGTTTCATTCCCAGAGCAGTACCTCCCTTCCCCCACCAAGGCATACAGATTGCCATTTCACATTATCAACCTATCTCTTTTTAATTATGATGATGTTTGGTTACAGCGTAATTTTATCATTCACATATTTCAATGATTGGCAAGTGCACGCCTCTTTTCACAAGTATTTCCCTGAATAGATGTTTGGAAGTAGAATTACTTTCTTATTTTTTTTTCATTTTTTGAGACAGGGTCTTGCTGTATAGTTCAGGCTGCCCTCAAACTCATGTTGATCCTCCTACCTCAGCATCCTGAGTGCTGGGACTACAGGTGGAATTACCCTCCCCCCATTTTCTGGTGCAGAAGAGTAAACCTTGGGCCTTGTATGTGGTAGACAAATGCTAGGCAAGAACTCTACCACAAAGCCACACCCCCAGCCCTCGAATGTCTTTTCATATAAGGTCTAAGAGTGAAGTTTCTTCAGAAAATCTGTTAGCTCATTGAAAAAAAAGTGTGTGTGTATAAAGTTCATTTTAAATGACATGCTCATTCGTTTAAAAAGCCACATGATTAAAAACGTTTTAAAAAGTGAGAGCTTTGCCATTCTGGCGTATTTACAAGTTTAAGAAGACTCTCTGTTGCTATTATTGCCTCCCTATCACACACTAATTTTTTTTTTTTTTTGTATGGGGGATTGAATTCGGGACTTTGAGCTTTCGAGGCATGCCCAGTGCCACTGAGCTAAATCCCCAGCCTGACACACTAATATTGATAATAATGGTGCCTTGAGTGCTTGGGGCTGTCAGGATTTAAAAGAACGGGGGGTGGGGGGTGTGTGTGTTCACCGATGAGCCAGAAGAAGATCTGGTCTGCTGGGAGTTATGCAGAAGTTGTAATGTTCCTAAGCTGTGGCATTTGGTCTGCATTTTCTCTTAGGTTCTCCAATCGCCACTGGCACAGGAACCCTCCTCTTGATCCTCTCCGATGTGAACGACAATGCCCCCATACCAGAACCCCGAAGCATGCACTTCTGCCAGAGGGATCCACAGCCTCACATCATAAACATCATCGATCCAGATCTGTCCCCCAACACTTCCCCCTTCACAGCAGAACTCACACATGGGGCGAGTGTCAACTGGACCATTGAGTACAATGGCGCAGGTGAGACTTCAGCTTTATTTCAGAATCTCGGCTCTGCCCGCTGTGCTTCTCCTTCTTATCCCACTTCTGAATTTTCCTTCCAACTCCAGGTGCCACCCCTTCCCTGTGGCATTTGTTCCTTGTGCCTTTTGCATTTGAGATCATGCGCCAAAGGTCCCTTTCCTTTCCTAGTGTTTAGCTGTGTGACATACTGCCCACCAATCTAAACCCTATGACAGCTCTTATTTCTCTCAGCTTTGGAATGTGTTTAGTTCCTTCACAGTTTTACTCTAGGATGAGTTTTCTTTCCCTCTCCCCTGGTTTCATCATTTGTTTTGTTTTCCCTAGCCCAAGAGTCTCTCATCTTGAAGCCAAAGAAAACCTTAGAGGTGGGTGACTACAAAATCAATCTCAAGCTCATTGATAACCAAAACAAAGACCAAGTGACCACTTTGGATGTCATCGTGTGTGACTGTGAAGGGGCCGTCAACAACTGTATGAGGGCAAATTATGCGGAAGCTGGATTGCAGGTTCCCGCCATTCTCGGGATTCTTGGAGGAATCCTTGGTTTGCTACGTAAGTATAAGTGGCAGGTCTTTGACTTTTAAAGTGGGGGAGCTTTCTTTCCTAGAGGTGACTTTTAGTTAGGGTGTAAGTTAAATAGCTGTAAGAAAGAGACTCTCTTACTGAACATTTCAGAGGTAAGTTGCCCAAGACTGGAAGGCACCCTATTCCATCACCTGGGCTTCTCAGTAAGGTGGGAATTTTGATCCAGAGGTCTGACAAGGGGCTTCAGATTCTGTGTTTTTAACCAGTTCCCAAGCTATGCTGATGTTGGGGGTCCTTGGCCCACACATGGAGTGCTGTCCGAATTCCACTAGGTGTGGTGGTGCATGCCTGTAATCCCAACACTCAGGAAGCTGAGGCAGGAGAATCACCATGAGTTTGAGGCCTACTTGGGCTACATAGTGAGTCCAAGACCAGCCTGAACTATATAGTGAGACCCTGTGTCAAAAAAAAAACCAAACCAAACAAACAGGCTAGCCACATCCTATTGGCCCAAACATGGCCATACCAAGCTATAAGGGAGCTTAGATTTTCCCATTCTTCACTGGATGACCATGTTCCCAATGAAAACTTGATAGGCAGTAGAAATGGAGTGTGTTGCAAACAGTATCGACAGCTAAAAGGATGAAGAAGAAATGGGATGCTGGGGAAGAAGTGGCAGTTTCTGCCATACTCTGAAACTGACTGTCTCCTGAGCCTGCCTGTAGAGTGAGCCCCAAGGTTGATGCAGATGCTGTTATAGTTTCTAAAAGCAAACAATGCCAAGCAAATCAATTAGATGTCATCACAGATGCTACCTATTTAATTAGGGACTGGAAGGTTAGGCCACATATGTAGTCAGGAAAGGGCTGTTAATGAGTCTTATAGAAGATGTAGATGGTAGCCCACAAGGGCTGGTAGAACTGAAATAGGCAGAGGGGTATCGGAGGGCAATCAGTCCTCTGACTGCCTAGAAACGGGGACAGCAGCGAGGGCTAAAGAAAGAAAGACAATAGAGACTTGTGTACTTTCAAAATATATGGGAGGCCAGGAGGTCAGTGCCTCAAAGTGGGCAAAGATAAAGACACTCCGAGCTTGCCACTATTTATTGGGTTCATACAATAATCAGAGGGAGCATCAGGTGACTCAGAGGATGGTAGTAATCCTGTGTTGATGAGGATCTTATGCTGAAGAGGATCTTATGTTGATAAAGATGGTGAAATGGGCAAAAACATTCTTACAGCACTAGGTGGGATGAGTTGAGCTTAATCTATCCCCAGGTGAATCCTTTCTCCTTTTTTTTTTTTTTTTTTTGGTACCGTATCGAACTTGGGTCCTTCCGCTTGCGAGGCAGGCAGCAGAACTACTGAGCTAAATCCCTGGCCCTCTCCTTTTCTTTTATTGCTCAGTTCTCAAAGAACCAGGATGTCTTCAGCTGATGTAATCTTGCATCACAAGACCATTGAGGTCTCAGCTGTGACTGGAGGCAAAACAGGAATTATGTTTCTGAATGCCATAGCTGGCCAAAGGCAAGAAGAGTAGGCCTCCGACAGCCCTAATCATACTTTAATAATGAAATGAAATAAAATAATTTTTCCCCAGAATTATGTAGAATGCCTCCCAACAGAGGGGTATTTGGGAGAGTTCCCACACAAGTGAAGACACAGGAGTTTGAGTGGATTCTGTAGATGGCAGAAGGAGGGCCAACTGGCCAGAGTGGAAGATGGGTCTTAGAGGGAGCAGTGGAAACAACTCTGGGCTTTCAGATTAGCTTGGGCACAGGTGCTGTTGGGTCTATTTTATCATTTTTTTTTTTTTCCAGTACCGGGGATCAAACTCAGGACCTTGCACTTGTGAGGCCGGCATGGCGCCACTGAGCTAAATCCCCCAGGCCTAAGTCTACTTTATTTTTTTGGTACCGGGGATCGAACTCAGGACCTTGAGCTTGCGAGGCAGTCGCTGGAACCACTAAGCTAAATCCCTGGCCCTCTAAGTCTGCTTTATTAGACTTGAGGGAGGCATCTCTTTCAGCCTTCAAGATGTGTTTGCTGGGTATTCTGTTTCTTCCTCCTCTCTGCTAAGATCTTCGCAAAGTTGAAAAGAAAGATGGTAATATTGAGAATTCAGTGAGCTTACCGGATTTTTGTTCCTCTAGGTTTTACATAATTTCACCACCATGATATTAGTTTAATGTCATCTGTCATCATCTTGGGTGTAGTGACACAAGCCCCCTCCCTGCGTACATTCTGGTCAGATTATATTTGCTTTTTTTTTTTGGTACTGGGGATCAAACTCAGGACCTTGCACTTGTGAGGCAGTTGCGGTGCCACTGAGCTAAATCCCCGGCTAGTCAGATTATATTTGAATGGACCAGTCTGCTTTTTTATTTATTTAGTTAGATTTGAGACAGAGTCTTACTTTGTACCTCAGGTTGGCCTTGAACTCACTATGTAGTCCAGGCTGACCTTGAATTCATGGTGATCCTCTTGCCTCAGACTCCTGAGTGCTGGGACAATAGGCATGTTCTGCCATGCCCATCTCACGTCTGTGATCATGGGTACTAATACTTTCCCAGGACTCTGAGGATCATCTTAGAAATTACAGTTATATTAGAGGAAGTCTTTAAAATAGAATTAGCTAAATTTGCTATGAGTATATTTCATTAAACATGGTGGTGATGGTTAGGGAGGGTGTAAATGAAATTTAAAGCAGAAGTAACTTCTTGTTGCTTATGGGCAGAAATGTTTAAGAGAAAATCTGAAGTTTTTCATGCTTTTCATTAATATTTGCTTACTGATTCTTACCTTGCACCTGGCTTTGTGTCAGGCCCTGGGTGTCCTTGGTTTTTGGTACAGCTCCCTTAGGAAGTGTCCCTTTGCAAACCATAGCCTGGCTCTGGCTCTAAGCTAGATGTTTGTGCATGTGCTGTGCTATTCAGTGCCATATTCCCCGGACACAGATGGGCCATGGCATAAGTAGCTCCTGCTCTGTTTCTGTCAATGAATCACAAGCAAAAAAATTGTATTATTTATCTGGATAAGGTCTCCAGTTTCTTACTGATTTAGAAACAATGGTACGTTGAGTACTTCTAAGACATCTGCCCTAAGTTTATACTGCCTTCATGTGTCAATGAGATAATGCTTCACTAAGGTGCACTGTAAGTACTTGGGCAAATGTACCTATTTTAAAAAAAATACACGATCTTATTTTTGCTCATTCTCAATAATATTCTTAAATATATATCCTGAAAATAATCTGAAGAGTTTAAAGCTTGCTTGCACAATTTTATTTGAAGATAGGAGCATATCAGGTGATTTTGTAGTCATGTACCACCTTCCATAACTGATTAACAGTAATAGGCATCACTCATATGTAGGCTGAGCCAGCAACCCTGCTCATAAACCTCCAATGGCCCCAACTCACTCAGAATCAAAGCTAAAGTCCTTATAGTGCTCTACACACCCTTCCCATCCTCAGTCTCTTCCCCACTTCACCTTTCCTCAGTCGCACCAAGCATGCTCCTGCCCAGTCTTTGCCCCCAGTCTTTCCCTTGCCTGGAACATTTTGCTCCAGATTTCAGGAAATGATAACAATTTGTTTGGTGGTGGTGGTGGTGGTGTGTTGGGGTGTTTTTTTTGGGGGGTGGGGTTGAGACAGGATCTCACCATGTAGTTCAGTTTGGCCTTGAACTCACTGTGATCATCCTGCCTCAGCCTCCCAGGTGCGAGGATTATGAGTGTGTCCACCATGCCCAGCTCAACAAATAGTTTTAAGATTGATCTGAAATTTAAAGATCTCACTTGACTTCATGTATCATTGTCTGCTGTGTTGTACTACATGTATTAACTTCAGGGAGGTGACTGTCATGTGGATTGATTGCAAGTTCTTTAAAGGTGGCCCCTGGCTGTCTACCTGCCACTTGTGGGGTATGATGGTGCTCTGTGAAGGCTGCTTCTTCTGGCCTTCCTTGCCTGTGACTCATCACTTGCCCCCCCATCCCCATTTCAGTTCTGATTCTGCTGCTCCTACTGTTTGTTCGGAGGAGAGGGGTGGTCAAAGAGCCCTTACTGCCTCCAGAAGATGACACCCGGGACAATGTTTATTACTATGATGAAGAAGGAGGTGGAGAAGAAGACCAGGTGGGTTTCAAAACATAAGTTCAATGGCGACCTATTTGAAAACAGTAATAGAGAGGAGAAACCACATTTGAACCAGATAACCAGGTCGTTGTCACTGTATTATTTTTTAAAGCTCTAGATATTGTCTTTGGCCAAATTCAGCTGGAACAGCAACACAGCTGACTTTGATTAGTTACATTCTGCACCCGGATGAGAACAGGTGCATTTGAACAATCTAAAAACCACAGTATATGAAGAGTATGACACAACAGTTTGTTTTTACTGACAAGTGCTATTCATTTGACGCTATGTTTTCTTTCAGTGCAATTTGGGAAACTCCTAATTTAGAAACTGTCATTTGATATTAAATTAGGCATACGCTGATAAAGATCATAGAGTTGGCAGCTCGGGTATTATGTAATACTATGATCCATAAAGGAAATAACAACCTGTGGATGTGACTGACTCTTTCTCATACTTTTATTTTTTCTCTGAAGGATTTTGACTTGAGCCAGTTACACAGGGGCCTGGATGCTCGGCCTGAAGTGACTCGCAATGACGTAGCACCGACCCTCATGAGTGTGCCCCAGTATCGTCCCCGCCCTGCCAATCCTGATGAAATTGGGAATTTTATTGATGAAGTAAGTAAGCAAAGTCAAAAACCAAGGCTTAAGGGCTTGGGATTTAGCTCAGTGGTTCCACTGTCTGCCTCACAAGTGCAAGGTCTCGAGTTCAATCCCCAGTACAAAAAAAAAAAACCAAGGCATAATACCACTCAAAAACTCAGGAGCGGGGCTAGGGATGTAGCTCAGAGGCCCAGCACCTGCCTGGCAAGCACAAGGCCCTGAGTTCGATTCCCAGTACAAAAAAAAAAAAAAGAGGGAAAAAGTGTCCAAAATGAGAAAAGAAATCTTTAGATTCTTCTCTCTACCATGGTTTCAGTTTTTTCAATTTCTGAGCCCTATTTTTTATTTGTGTCTCATCTGAATTTCAGAACTAGTAGCACTTTGAATTGATCTTAGTGAATTTGCAAAGTCTACATGACAAAACCAAGAAATTCTTGAAAGAATTTAATGGATCTAATAATGAAACTAAAGAGATACAAAGTAAATCCCATTTTGATTTCATTAATGAGTTCCCCTGCATTGCTCAGTTGGTTGAAGTGTGTATTACAGTCTATCTGAGGAAATAGCACCCATATACTATATGTCAGAAATGCATTCAGCTCTCAGTGGAGAAGCTTAAACAGATTAGGAGTAGATTCACTTCATGTAAATAGAAGGCCTGGAGTAAGCAGTCTAGGTTGGTGCATTAGGCTGTTCCACTATCTTAGTGTGTAGACCCTCATGTTGCTTAGTATGTTCTCATGTTGCTTCATGATCACAAGGTGGCTGCCACACTTCCAGGCCTTGGGGGTGTATTTCACGTGGAAAGAAGTAGGAAGTGCAGAGCAGAGGACAAAAATCTATCTTCTAATATACTACCTTATTATTAAAGAAGGGAATTTGCCTAATATATTATTGGCCAAAATGTCACAAGGTTGTCTCTATATGCAGGGAGAATAATAAAGCACTAAATTCATTAGCTCAGGATAACATGAGAAAGAATTGGGAGTGGGATGAACACAGAACCCAGTAAGGGACTACAGAATAGGATCTATATGGTCAGGTACTGACTGGAATTATTTTCAGGGCTTGTATGATAGTTTAGATAGTTTAGTGTCCCTGGTGAGTTCATGTGGAGCCTGTTTTATTCTGTTTTTCAGTACTGGTGATTTCACACTGAGCTACATTCCCAGCCTACCCTAGTCCCCTTTTTCTTCTTTTTTCAGACAGGGTTTTGCTTAATAAGTTGTCCAGGCTGGGTTCAAACTGGGGATCTTTCTGCCTCAGCTTCCAGGACAGCTGGGAATACAGGCATGTGCCACTATGCCTAGTTTAGAGGCTGGTTTTGCTTTTGTCTTCTATGGAGGTTACTGTCCCTGAGGGCTGTACAGAGCATGCAGTGTTGGGAGTAAGCAAGCCACATCCATTCAAAGCCCCAGGTCCTTGGAGAACAAGAAGGACCATCTTCTCCATCTATCTTAGATACACATGGATTTGGGTCCTTTCCTTCGTTCACATTCATTTATAAGCCATCACATTTATTTGTAGCTTTTAAATTAGAAAAGTAATATGCTTGCTATCTTCAAAATATAAATTATAAAATGTACATATATATAAAGAACACATAAGTCCTTCCTCAGGTCTTCAAACTACTCCCCAGATTAAACTTTTAATATCAGTAGCTTGGCATTCATCCTTCTAGACTTCTAGACCACCCTCTCAGTCCCTATTTCTCCCTGCTTACATGAATTTTATCGTTTGGGCTTAGAGGGAAAGCTTTCTGTAACTTTCTCTTCCTCAACCTTGTATCCTGGGGGGAGGGGGCAGGTAACGGAAGGGGTGAATATGACCAAAATACATGATACATGTTGAAATCCACCCCCTCCAAAATGTGAGACTGGGGGGAGGCTGGGGCAAGGGGTCATGGAGGGAATGATTGAAGTATATTATGTGCATGTACAAAAATTTTTTAAAATCATGTCCAACTTTTTTTGCTGTGCTGGGGCCTAACCCCACGACCTGGCAAAGGGAGCGATTTCAATTGCTTTTTCCTGTCCCTCTTGCCATGCCAGTTTGGATGATGCACCTTGTTGGTCTTAACTGCTCCCTGGTGCCCTTCCAGCTGGCGCATTGTCACACACTGCCTGAAGCTCCGCAAGAAGGCGTCTTGCCTCTGATGAGTGCTGTGCCTTGCCTTTCACTGACTTTGTCCCTCTTTAGAACCTGAAGGCTGCTGACAGTGACCCCACAGCTCCCCCTTACGACTCTCTGCTCGTGTTCGACTATGAAGGAAGTGGTTCCGAAGCTGCTAGTCTGAGCTCCCTGAACTCCTCGGAGTCAGACAAGGATCAAGACTATGACTACCTGAGTGAGTGGGGCAATCGCTTCAAGAAGCTGGCGGACATGTATGGAGGTGGCGAGGATGACTAAGCAGACTTGAGAGGCCTGAGCAATATGAAATGCAGGACAATGTTGCTGGTGATATTCAGCTCTCTTCTCTTGCCATGAGTCTCTTGGACCAAGGCTGATTCATGACACAGTTCAGATAGTTATGGTTTTCTCTTCATATCTCTGTTTTGTGTGTGTTAAGAAGGTTTTGACTTACTCATTAAATATTTTCCCCCCATTTAATCTTTTTTTTTTTTTTTTTTGGTACCAGGGATCGAACTCGGGTCCTTGTGCTTCTGAGGCAGGCGGCAGAAGCACTGAGCTAAATCCCCAGCCCCTCACCCCTTTAATCTTTACATCATAATAAGGTCCCAAAGCTCCTGGAATTTTGATACTTCAAAGAACAATTTCAGCTTCAGATATCTCTGCTAGCCGCCAGGCGTTGTGGTGCACACGTATAATCCTAGTACTCAGAAGGCTGAGGCAGAAGGATCACTGTGAGTTTGAAGCCAGCCTGGGCTACATAGTGAGTTCAAGGCCATCATGAACTACATAGTAAGACCCTGTCTCAAAAAAAAGTCAATTGTAAAATAAGTTGTTTCTGCTAGCAACTTATAGATTTCCTCAAGGAAGTTTGTCTCATGTTTAAAAGGAGGGCCAAAGTCAAATGTTGTTTTATATTTTTTTAAAAAATTTTTTATTGAATGCCTCCTTCACCACCACCTAATCACTGCACTGATGTCCTGTGTCCTAATCTCCACTCTTACTCCTGAATTCTGTTGCCCTGCCATACATGGGAGTCCTGATACAGAAAATACTGGGCCCTTTTAGGGCGACGGGCATGTGTCTTGGTCTGGCCATGTCTTGACTGGGTATTGTGTACTCTAAAGACTTCTTGGTTTTCCTTTTCAGCTCCTAAGTATTAGGTTGAAATGGGCATCAATGCATTTACTTGTTCTGAGTCAGTGTTTGTTATGTGAATGTCATTGTGGGATACTTTGGTTCTGTATCAGGAGCCTTGACCAGAAAATACGGTGAATTTTCAGGTGCCACTTAATTTTTCATGTTTATTTATTAATAACACTTAGAATAGTGCCTACAGTGCTACAGCCAAAGACAGAAAAGAAATATGGGCATGGAGGTGGCAGGAGAGCTTGTCATTATTTTGGCCATTTAGCAAATTGATTTTGAGGATGGCTGAGGTGGGGCAGCCTCTTTTCTTGAACGTCCGTGAAGAAAAGGGGAATCTTAACCTGTGTTTCCTACTGGGATTCCCATACCATGGGCTGTATACAAAAGCCCAGCATCTCCAAATGCTTGTTTTTGATGGTGTCTAGAAAGAATGCTGGCCAATCTGGACATAGATGCCTGATTCCAAGTGTGCACAGAAAATACAATATTGAGAATTCCAACTTTTTTTCTTAGGAGAAGAAAGAAAACACTGTTCTAATGGACATTAGAAAGGGGGAAGGAGGAGAAAGGACCTTGATTAAATCTTTTCTTTTTTTTTACATTCAAAATGCAAGTTTCAACTGTTGATAACCACAGGAAGGAGTTTTTTGAAATTGCTTTGCTGTTAAGTGGGGGAGGAAAAAAATCATGCCTGTAATCAATTGTTGGAATTGTCTTGATTTTTCTGCAGTTTAAACCATATCTAATGTAGCTGGGTGTAGAGAATGTCATTGTAGTTTTGACTGTAAATGTGTGTGGGTGCTGATAATTTTGTATCTTCTTTGGGAGTGGAAAAGGAAAACAAGCAAGAAAATTATTCCCAAAGATGCATTTTTATAAATTTTATTAAAGAGTTTTGTTAAGCCATTGTCAAACTTGTTTGATTTGATCCCACTGGTATTCCAAAGAAGATAAAGGAGGGGAGTTTAGTCAAAGCCTGGAGACAGAAACTTCAGTCTCCAGAGTGTTCAGCCATTCTGCTTGGGGCCAAGAAGAGGAATCCACATTTACTAGGCCACTTTACCTGAAGACTGTCTTTGTGGCCTGAAACCAGCAGTGGGCTGTTCCACCCGGCAGAAACAAAGTTTCAAACAGTCCTTGTCTATCTGGTCAGCCAGGGGAACTCTGCTGAAGAGGGTTTTGTCATCTTTGGCGATAACAAGGCCATGTTACTGTCACCAAGTCAAGGCCAGCCATGCTGTTAAACACCCTGCAATGCACAGGACTCCCCCACAACAAGGAGTTCCCCAACCCATGATGTCAGTAGCGCTGAGAAACCCTGGAACAGATCTGCAACATTTTTTCTGCTATACAGGAATAGTTTTTTCTTCTTTTGATAATTTATTTTATTTTTGAGACAGGCTCTAGCTGTGTAGTTCAGGCTGGCCTCAGCCTTCTGAGTGCTGGGATTACAGGCTTACGCCATCACACCTGGCTTTGATAATCTTTGAAAAATTGTAGTAAATATGGGCCGGAGATGTAGCTCAGTGGTGCCACACCTACCTGGCAAATCAAAAGGTCCTAAGTTAGATACCTGGTACCAAAAAAAATTATAGTAAATATAACAATATCATTTTAACCATTTGTGATTATATAGTTAAGTGTCATTAAGTACATTCCAATTATTGCACAGCCATTAATACTATCCATCTTCAGAAACTTTTCATCCCAAACTGCAACTGTACTCATTTTACCTTTTTTTTTTGGTACCAGGGATCAAACTTGGGACCTTGAACTTGCAAGGAGGCAATGGAACTGCTGCGCTAAATCCCCAGCCCCTCATTTTACCATTTTTAAGTGTACAAGTTAATGATGCTTAGTACACTCAAATTGTTGTATATCTACCCCTTCTACTGCCAGAACATTTTGTTTTTGAGATAGGGTCTTGCTGTATAGTTCAGGCTGGCCTTGAACTTGCAGTGATCCTCCTGCCTCAGCCTCCCAAGTGCTGGGATTACAGGAATGTGCCACCCTGCCTAGCTCCAAAACATTTTTTATCACTCCAAAAAAATTTCTGTATCCAACATCCAAAAACCTCTCCATTATCTGTCTCTCCTCAGCCCCTGGTAATAAATACCCTATTCTGTTTCTGTGTCTGTGATTTTGCCTATTCTAGATATGTCTAGCTTACTAGCATAATTTCAGGGTACCTTCATATTGTATCAAACCATCATTCCTTTTCAGGGCCAAATAATACTCCATTGTATGCATATACCTCATTTTATTCACTCACATTGGGCTGTTTCTAATTTGACCATTAAAATGAACACTGGTATACAAATACTTGAGTCCCTGCTTCCACTTCTTTTAGGAATATGCATAAGAGTGGAATTTCTGGGAAATTTAGCTTTTCCAAAACCATCAATATATGAACTTTGATTGGATATCGGTATAAAAAAAAAAACCTACAAAAAGACATTTTGGGGAAATTGAAAGTTTGGCTATAGCTCATTGTATGTAATTCCTGAATGAATGTTAGTTTTTTTGGTTGCAATAATGGAGATAGTGTCTCTAGGACAGCATATCCCTTATTCTTAGGGATAAAGGCTGTTGGGATAAAATATCATGATATCTGGAAGTTTGTTTAAATGGCTTCCAAAAGGGTATATATTGAGAAGCAGCAAGAAAGTAAATGCAGCAAAATGTTCACAGTGACAATCTATGTGTTCATGTATTACTATTTCCATTTTTCTTTGTATTTAAAATATTTCAAAATAAATGGAGGAATAAGGAGGCCAGAAATAAATCTCATATATGTGGTCAAGTGATATTTGACAGTGGTGCTGAAACCAATGGGGGAAAAGATATTGTTTTCAACAAATGGGCTGGGAAACTTGGGTCTTCCTTTACCTTAACATATGCAAAAGTTAACGTGTATCCCAAAAGAAGAAAAGCTTCATGTCAGATGTAGCAATGATTTCTTGAATACAACAGGCACAGGCAACAGAAGAAAAGCAGAAAGGAGTATGGATGTAGCTCAATGGTTGACAGCTTGCTTAGTGTGTGAGGCCCAGGGTTCAATTCCCAGCACCACAATAAGGGGCCAATTATGGATAATGGAACACAAACATGGCTAAATGTTCCTCACAAGAACACTTAATTTGCTAAGGTCTGTCCTGGGAATTCTGCTCCTGTAAAACAGCCACTGATAGTGAATTGAATACACTGAATACTACTAGTCTCATTAGTTGTGAGTTGAGCAAACAGGATGCAAACACCATAGGCTGCTTTGATGACTTGTTCGGCTGCCATCAAATTATAATATAATGAGCTCCTTGATGGCTGATTTCAAATGAGTAGAGCACATTTTCCATGAATACCAGCTTGTGTGTGTGTATGTGTGTCTTGAACATCCCCAGATGGCTCTTTGCAGAGGGGTAGCACACCCCCCCCCATATAACTCCTGTGGGGATTTGTTGTATGGATGTTTGATAGCATATACCACAGGGTCCCCCAGCTGTACTTCTGTGTTTTTAACAAAGCTACCCAGAACAAACAGGAAGGAGCTACCAGACTTCAATTCCTAGAAACTAAAATTCCATAAGCTACAATACTGAATTGTAAAGAAACAATACCCGAAAGCCCATTTAATTTTTTTTTTTTTTTTGAGTGGTGAGGATTGAACCCAGGGTTTCATGCATGTTAGGTAACCACTCTGCCACTGAGCTACAGCCCATTTGAAGCTGGGCAAGGTGGCACATGACTTGTAATCCTGGGACTTTGGAGGCTTAGACAAGACCACAAATTCAAGGCCATCCTGGGCTACAAAGCAAGACTGTCTCAAAAAAACAGGGAGAAGAAAAGGGAAGAGAATTTTTTTAAAAAACAGGCTATATATGTATATGTACCTACTCCAAAGCTGATTGTAAAATTCATATACTGGGCCAGGGATTTAGCTCAGTGGTTCCGCTGCCTGCCTCACAAGCAGAGGGACCCGAGTTCGATCCCCAGTACCAAAAAGAAAAAAAATGTAAAATGCATGCACTGCAAGGATGTATGAATTAAAAAATTAGAAAACAACAATAGGGCCAGAGATTTAGCTCAGTGGTGCCACTGCCTGCCATGCAAGCTCAAGGTCCCAAGTTCAATCCCAACTACCAAAAAAAATTTTTTTTTTAAAGAAAACAATAATACAGAAGCCCATTCGAATAAATTTAGGGTGGGAAAGGTCCAAGAATATTTTCTTCTTCAGCTACAAGGCCAATTTAACACTACAGATTTACAGGCCTGGGGGTCTCCTCCAACATCTTATCATGGACATTAAAATGTGCTCACTGTCCCACATGGGATATATCTATTTTTTGGTGTAAAAATTTTTTATGAAATCTTTGTGACATTGCTTTTGAAATCATTTCAATTTGTATTTAAGCCTATATAGCCTAAAAGATTAAAAACAGTGATGTCCTAATTCTGTAATATTTGGGATAAAGGATTCTTGGTTCTGGCTATCCTACCATCTTTTGTAAACCCCATACCAGTACTACCCTGGTACAGTCTCATTCCTGAAACCCAAGCTTAGGAGGCCCTACCCAGCCACCCCCTGGGCAAGAAATCTTCCAGGTCTAGGGGACTTGCCCACCCCAAATCCCCAATCTTCTCCCAGACCACACTCCAGGTTCCAGAGTCCTGGAACTCCCTGCCCAGCCATCCTGAGCCTGCAGAGCCTCCTCACTTGTTCTGCCTCCTTCAGCAAGGTGTACTAGGGACAGTCACAGCACTGGGGGAGTGGGGACAAGTGTTACCTGCCTGGAAATGTGTGTGCAGAGCTCGAATGTGCAGGGCTGGGGTGTTGACACTGAGTGGAAAGCCCTTGCTGGTGCAGGACAGAGACTACCGTGAGGGGTAAAGAGGCTCAGGCCACCTTAGGAGAGCTGGCTTCCTTAGTGCCACCGTGTTCAGTGCAGGGCTCAGAGGTGAAGTCTGAGAATTCTTAATTCAAATGTGTTATCATTTTCAAGATAGGAAGATAGAACAGGGCAAGGAGGCACGTCCTTATAATTCCAGCACTCTGGGAGGCTGAGGCAGGAGGATCAAAAGTTCAAGCCCATCTGGGCAATTTAGAGAGACCCTGTATTAAAATAAGAAATAACAAAAGGACTGGAATATGGCTTAGTGCTAAGGTCCTGGGCTCAATCCCCAGGACTGGAAAAATATATCATTATACAAATTTTGCTAAATATTTTAATACCTCAAAATCACCTTATTTTTTCCAAAATGAAATTGTGCCCATAAATGAGGAAAAATTATCTAATAACAATGGATGGAAGGAAATACATACCATAAAAGTAAATCCTTGCCGGGGATTTAGCTCAGTGGTTCTGCTGCCTGCCTCGTAAGTGCAAGGACCCAAGTTCGATTCTTGGTAACAACAACAACAACAAAAAGAACATCCTGGTAATTTGTTTTTGTTTTTGGCAAGACAGGGTCTTGCTATGTAGTTCAGCCTGCCCTTGAACTCACTATGCAGCCCCAGCTGGCCTCAAACTCACAGCAGTCCTCCTGCCTCAGTCTCCCGAGTTCTGGGATTACAGGCGTGCGCCACCAAGCCCGGCTCCATCTTGGTAATTTTATGGGTCATTTTTTTCCCTTCAAATATGTTGTTCCAGAGCGGGTGTGGTGGCACAAGCCTGGGATCCCAGCACTTGGAAGGCTGAGGTGAGGCAAGAGAATCGCCTCGAGTTTGAGGTGAGCCTGGGCTACATAATGAGTTCAAGACCAGCATAAACTACATAGGGAGAAACTGTCTCAGGCTTTTCCTGAAATGTTTGAATTTCCCACCAGGATTCATGCTGGTGAAAACCGATTTCCGATTATCTGAATCTCAAATCCATTCTGTTTTACACATAAACGCAATTCGGGGTGAGGTGGGTATGGTTTTATTATACACCGACTTCTGAATGAAATAACCACGTAAATGGAACAAAGACTAACTTTACTCAGTCCATTTCACGGGCACTGTGTGAGACAGCTCAGTTTTAGAGCACGCACTTCTCATGACCTGCACTAATCCCCAGCACAAACAAACAGGAAAAAATTATATCACTAATAGCAACATTTGTAGCTGTTACATTCATAGTGGATATATGTGCTTGCAAACGTTTATTTTAAATGTCACTTATTAAGAAATCAACAATATTCAATTGAGCATTGTATTGTTTATCTAAACTTCACTGTAAGTAGGTCTATTTCATTTTGTCTTCCGGTATACTGAAATAGATATTAATTTGTGATAAACTATTTCTGTCTTCTCTCTCTCTCTTTTTTTTTTTTTTTTTTTTGGTACAGGGGTTGAACTCAGGACCTTTCGCTTTCGAGGCGGGCGGCAGCACCACTAAGCTTAATCCCTGGCTGTCTTCTCTTTTTTATAGCAGTTAATTACATTGAATTTCTGAAACTGTGCTTGTTCTCCAACTGGCTCAGTGGAGTAGAGGAGATCAGAAAAAGATTTACGTGACAGGAGTGTTCCTTACTGAGCCCGTCCCGCCCACGCCCCGCCCCTAACTCTGCGAGCTCATTTTGCCACACTCAACATGGCAGCAGCGCGGGTCCACCAAAACGTCTGAGCAGGTCTCAAGACTATATATTCCACTCCAGTCATGGCGGCTCCGGGACATGTTGTGGGTAGCGGGGTTCTGGAGACATGCGGTCTGGACCAGATTCTGGAAGCGCTGAAGCTGCTATTGAGCCCGGGAGGTGAGAAGACGCATCTTGGCGCGGGGCTGGACCCCGGACTCTCGGGGACCCAGTCTTCCAGGGGCCCGTGGCTTCCGTAGCTCGCGCCCCTCAGGCCCTCCCTGTACCCTCTGCCCCGCTGCTGAGGGATTTGGGCATGGTCCAGCCTCATTTCAAACTTAAGGCTCAAAGAGAGGCAGGGAACCGGATGAATACCGATACTAGCCAACATCTCTTGACCGCTTCCCTGTGCCTTTGGTCCATTATTTCATTCTGCTCTGCTGTGAGGTAGGGACTGCGGGAACTGTTTCAGAGAGGTGTAGGCACCCGTGAGGTGTAATGTGACATCCCAACCGCTTGAGGGCGTTCGGGCTTGAATGAGGACGCTTGAGATTTGCACAAAATGTGAAGGTGTC